ATTTTTTTAGTATATTACTTGTGTGGTGTGGAAGAGAATTATTTATGTAGAGATACTGCTTGCAAACCAATGATGTAAGATGATGTCATGGGGTAGGACTGGATAAGTCTGACTTCTTCCTACTCCATTCAAGCATGTACTAGGTATAAGCAAATTGATATTGGATTAGCATTTGTTGGATATGTGTAAAATTATGTGTGTTGACATATCAACTGTCTTTACATGCTTGAAAGAATAAATCAAATCAAATCAAATCAAATCAATACCTGCGAGTTTTGTGTTGAGGATCTGTTCATACTCTTCCCGGATCTTCTCCTCATGGTCTTTGAGCAGGCGCTCACACAGGTAGCTCACCTGCCTCAGTGTAAACGAGGGCTGGTCCTTCCTTGAGGCACCTGAGAAACACAAGATTAGTTCAGCTACAAAAAGGCTGAATCACTCACATCTCCAATACAGGGACAGTCTCAGAGATTAAAGCATCCTCTCTGCAGAGCCAGATGCAAAATTTACAGCTTTGCTTTTCGCCATCCTCACCTGCAGGACCAACGGGGCTGTGCAGCACTAACGTCGTCCCAAGGTCTGTCATAGTACAACTAATGCCAGCTTTAGCTCAGTGATTCACTACAGGGCTGCCACAATTAGTCAACATAATCAATTATGGCTGCAGCCTCAGACATGGGCACATATGGGGGCGGCTATGGCTCAGGAGGTAGAGCGGGTCGTTTCCTAACCGGAGGATTCGATTCCCGGCTTGTCCAGTCAACATGTCAAGGTGTCCTTGAGCAAGACACTGAACCCCCAGTTGCTCCCGGTGATGTCACCGGTGTGTGAATGCGTGAGTGCGAATGGGTGAATGGCCAAATAATGTGAAAGCGCTTTGAGTGTGCTGTAAAAGCATAGAAAGGCGCTATACAAGTATAAGACCATTTACCATATGGAAAGAAACAAACTGTACGTCAACCACAATCCAAGCTTTTCTGCATTTTGACTTTGTTTATTTAGATGATTACTTTTATGGTATTTGCAGTTACTAACTGCTTTACAAAGAAGCAACTGTATGAGTGTAATTTTAAGGAATTTTAAAAGATCACATCAGAGTGGTATCTCCATTACAGGAAATGGGTTGGATTTGGCACAAACACTTCTTTTAGAAGCCAACATCTGGAATCACAATCTCGCTGCCCTTGTAATGAGCCTGCCTGCAGATTCGAGTTGGCCATGCAGGCCCAGCCATGGGTTTGGTAGCAGGCCTCATTTGTAAATGTTGTTGGGCTACTGAGTGGCCCTAAACCTACCAAGCTGATAGATTATTGTATCGTCTCATCCCAAACGAATCTGAATCCTCATTAACAAACTAAAATGTGGCACGCTGAACTAAACAACAAAAAGGGAATTCTGAAACTTTAAGAAGAAGCAGCTTTATTTTATTGTCATTGTTAACACGTACAACAAAATCTCGTTTGGAGCCGAGAGGGGTTCAGTGTCTTGCCCAAGGACACTTTGACATGTGGACTGTAAAATCAGTCCAAGCTAAACCAACAACTGACCTTTATCATGCATGACCATGGGTGTTCAAGTGGTAAATTATGTCCTTAAACTGGAAACGCTGATTCACTTCAGGAGCTGTAGCACCTGTACATAGTCTATAATGGTTGTTCCTACCTGGTGGGGAGCTGGGAGCATTGAGGGAGGAACTGGGGCTGGGGGTGTCACTGGAGCTACAGGCCTCAGTCTGGCTGAAGGCCCCTTCCAGCTGCCGCCGCCTCTGGATCCGGCTGTACCCCTGACGGAGGTTCCGGAAGATCTGCTCTAGAGGTAGCAAACAGGAGCAAGGTAAAATAATAATAATAAAAGAGAGGACACTCCCTAGCACATACAAATTCTAAACTTTTGGAAATTTGGCAATATGAAGGATCTCCCAGTGGGCTCCTAAAGAAAATACATTACTTACTTTTTTTGTTGTTGTTTGGAAACAAAACAAACAATGTTGTGAACCTCTTTTCATTAAAACTCTCAAAATTTCAGCTTTTAAGTGTTTGTTGATAATGGAAAAAGTCTCTGATTTTTATTTCCAATTCATCCAGCAGTGATTGTCCCAGAATATTTAGACAGTGATTCATTACAAGAATGAAACTACCAGTGTTTTCATTAGTGTTTAATGTGTGTTCTTTCAACATTAAGTCCACCACAGCTGCAATCATACAATGTTGAATGTGTTCCAGCGTGAATAGGGATTGTGGAAAACCACAATCAAACAGTGTTCTTAAGAGCAGCTATGATCATTTCCTCTGTGCCATCTCTCACCGACAATGTTGAACAGGAAGGAGACTTTTGAAATTAACATACCAACTACAGCTGTAACACACACAGCTGATTTAAGACACACTTTCTGATCCTTTGACTGTATCACTTTCACTTCTGTTTAAAATGTTTTCTTAACATCTGTCATGCCAAGCTACAGCTGCTGAAAAGGCTCACATCTCTTCTTTGCTAAGCAGTACCTAGGTCAAAGCCTCTCATTCTGCTGAGGCCTGTTTAGTGGTTGTACAGATATTTTAGGTTGTGGTGGACAAACAAAATAAACTGATTTTTGTGGGAAGATCTGCTCCAGTGCATCATCGAGCCATGTTTTTTTTTCCCCCTGCCCTCAAAAATGATAAATAACTGTTTAGCGATCTAACTCCACAAATCAGCATTACATAGTTCTCAGTCTTTTCACATTAGCAGCTATTTTAACATGTATAATGTTTAGACACAGATTTTGCTAAAAAAAAAAAAAAACACATGAAGCATTTTCTATGCGCATCTCTCTCCTGTAGATAGAATTCCGTTATGTCAAATGTGTCAGTCCACATTTGTGACATCATCTTCCATAGAACCCTCATGTTTTTTTATGCTTCAAGTCTATTTTTTCCCCTCTGATGCATTTAGTGAAGCGTAATCTCCACACATAATCACATAAATCCTGTTGTTTTCTGTTTCTACTAGTATCCGTTACAATAGATCAATCTGCTTGACTTTCCCTTTCACTTTCTCCCTCAGTAACGAGCCGGGGAAAAATCTAAATCAATAAATCCTTAGGCTACATATAAACATGATTTCTCTCTGATGATCTTAGATGAAAGTTACTTTTGCCCAGTACAATTGTGTTGCTGGTCGGCCTGGAATAGACTTTCTCTGACCGCTGTCCTGCTGGAAGACAGCTGTTCTGAAGACAGAACACACAGTTCATCTCACTTTAGGTGTGCATTGAACAGAATCATGCTTCAGCATTTACGTCACACTTCCAGTGTGTTTTACCAGTAAGACTGAATGCAATAAATTCAGATTTTTGACTCAAGATAGTGACAGAAGGCTTGACGTTCATTACTGTCAGCTAGGCAACATCAGCACTCCTGGGTACACGGTCTTTTACCTAAATGGTCTTATGCTTATATAGCACCCTTTAATGTGCACTCAAAGCACTTCACACTATTTCCCATTCTCACACACTGGTGACCTAACCAGGAGCAACTAGGGGTTCAGTGTCTTGCTCAAGGACACCTGCTGGAGATCGAACTGCCAACACTCCTGTTAGGAGACAAACCACTCTGAGCCACAGCTGCTCCCACATCTGACAAGTGAAAACCCTCATCTGCTGCCTCTGCCTCACAGCTCTGCCAATTGCTAGTAGCTCAACTGTGGGCAGTGCTTGGCAACAATGACCATGCCACAACCAGGCCAAGTAATCAATCCCAGAGCCTTCCAGGAGCCACAGAAGTAAACCTCAGCTAAAAAGCTTAGGTACAGGCCAAATTGCGTATACAAGAGGAGATCCGCCAGATAGATTGGACATGGTGGTGATGAGGAAACAAAGCTGACTCATTTCATTTCACCCTCTGCTGCTGCAGGATTGCAGGGGGAGGCGGGTTTTGAATATCCCAACTACCAGGAAATGGCTGTGATGTATTACTGGTCAGTTCAAGTAAAAGAGACCACTGTTAGAAAAAGAAATCCTGAGTTATAACTGAAGGTTTAAATGAAATTAGTTTAAACGTCTGTGGCCCACCGTGTGTGTATATATGTACTGTAGGTGTGTGTATTAGGGGTGTGACAATACACTTGGCTTGGGTTGTTCAAGACACAATATCGGGTTGTTCCAAGAGAATGAGATGATATAATATTTTAACAGAATTTTTAAGAAATCTTCAGTGATCAAATACATGACCGGAAAAATCGTATTTTATTCGACGTCACAAATGAATGTCATGTCAGTTCTACTTCCTGAGTATGAATTATAACATGTAGTAAAACACAGAACAATATGCAAGTACTGTAAAAGGCTTTGCCACAGACTCTACCAAGTGGCTTCTCTCCTGTACGATTTCACAATCCTCTCTTCAGACCTTATAACTGTGTATGAACTACGCATGAGCTAACTTCTAACTGAAGCAGTGTGGGACCTTCTATGCTATTTTCACCCTGACCACACCAGATGGTGACATCATCCGGCAAAGGCATTGCATTGACCAATCATGTACAGGGGACAATCAGGACATGGACACACATGTAAAGTCAACTCTTTTGTTTACCTTCTTAGCTTGAGCATTCACTGCTTTTCACTGTTGAATTTGGGCCACAATTAATGCACCATAATGACAATCATGCATTTGCATTAGTACTGGATGTTAAACACTGTTTTTTTCTTTTTTAATCTATCAATGCCAGCACACTGGTGGTACACTTTGTGCTAAGGCAGAGTAGGCTAGGTTAGCAGCATGGCTAACCAAAACACAACAGAAACTCACGGGCTGGAAATGCGAATGAACCACTCATGTCAACTCATCACAACGTGGTCATATCGTACATGCCTACAACACTCCCCCTGCAACCGCCCACCCCTGACCAATGCAGCCCCATGTAGTAAAACACAGCAGGGAGTTGCATTTTTTCCAGACTAATGTCAACTTATCATCACACTTCATCATGCTGGTTGCTGCTCTGGTTCTGTTATGTACTGATACCACCAGACAGCTTTTTCCTCAATGAGAAATATCATCACGTTTTAATATTGTGAGATCTCGTGGCATGAGATCTCATCACACCCCTAACACTAATAAACACAGGTGCCTACAGTGCGCTATATAGATTTTGTGCTTGGAAAAATATAACCCAAAGCTTTTTATCCTGGCTGTAAAGCAGACAGAAGCCAGCTAGTCCAGCCTTTTTGGCAACATGTCTGAGGAAAACAGTGAGCTCATTTGTCATCTGTGAAAATTTAAGGGGAGCAAAAGCCCAGACTGGTAGCACAACAAAAAGAACGATGAGTGATTGTATCTACATTATGAAATAATTATCCAACAATACCTTGGCAGTGTGAGATGCTTGTGTCTTGCCTGCAAAACACAGCCCAGCTCAACACAAGCAAACCTGCCTAGCTGGAAAGCATGTGTTACCCACACATGGGTGGGAAGGATGACAGCTGACCTTTTGCTAAAACACAAAACTTCTTCCACTTGGCAAACCAGCAGAAAGGCAGATTTACAGCATTAGTCCCATGAGGGGCCCCTTTCTGGGTGAAGGTGAGCATCATACCTGTATCAGTCTGCAGCAGACAAATCTACATTGCTTTACCCTTGCAGCTGCCGTGCTGCAAGGCAGGCAGGGTCTGAAAGAAATGGAACACTCTTGGATTCTTAACATGAATTTCAGGTAAAATATGTAATGTCAGGTCACAGAACCCAGGATAGGTTGATCCTGCAGATTCATTTTGTGCACTCATATGCAACATAGCTAGAGTATAAACACCATTCTAGAAGAAACATAATAAGCAAACCAGACTGCATAAATATCATGAGCAATAACAGGAACATAACAATATCTCATTACCTCCAGGCATAAGCAACCGCAAGAAACTGCCCTGTGCTTTCTCAGAAAGACAACACTGTTAAATCAATGACGCTTTTGCTAAACAGGATCAGAGTTACACAGTTCACCAGAAACAGAAATTAAGTGCATTTCACGGGAAGCCAGCTGTGATGGTATCACCATCAACACCTACCAGTCTGTATTTAATTCTCTCAGCAAACCTTCACTGGCTTACTCTACAATGATGTGCACCAATTCTCTGTGTGATCTTGCAAAGATGTGCGCCATGAAACACACTTTTTTCCTTTGTCTTTGTTATTTTGTTCAAATGAAAGTAATCTTTTCTAATAGTGCACATCATTTTCATTTTTCAGGTAAGTTATTCTACCATTTTCAGAGGTAACTTCAATGAAGAACATCAAGTCATTGAGCACAGAACTGAGAGGAGAGACTACGTGACTAGTATGCAGTAATAACATATCATTTGCCTTAGATGATTAAGTTATGGAAAGAAGCTGAAAATCTGACATTTTTCAAATCTACAGTAAATACAAGACATCCTGCGATGGACCGGCGACCTGTCCAGGGTGTACCCCGCCTTTCACCCGATGCCGGCTGGGATTGGCTCCAGGAAATACAAGACCTTAACCTCTTTGGGCATAACAGAAATGTCTCAGCATACCGCCAGTGGTTATCTATGAGGGACAATCACACCTAAATCAAAACACTTCTCCAAGCACTCCCTGTCAATACAAACTGGCTCTGAAGAATGTGTCAACACATTTCTGATTTCTGCACTGCCACTGAAAACGCATGACGGCAAGAAGTACAATACTTCACAGCAACAGGAGTGATAATTAGCAGCAAAAGTAACACTATTCTTTGTGATATCCTGTGCAACAAACAATGGCTTTCTAATACTTGTCCAGAATGTTAATGCAGGAGTTAACATTTAGGCTTAGCACAGGTAGCTGTGCTGTACAGTCTTGCAATCCTCTCACATTTCACAGCCATAAAACGATCAATTAAATTTATGGAAGTCAAGTGTTTTTTAAATAAGAACTTAAAAACTGTATACATCACTGCTGTCATGTGGATCACGATGGAGATAGAGACTTTCAGACATACTTGTACATCCAACACTCAACCAATTTTTAAGTCAATAGAAGAATAGAATAGAGTAATAATGAAAATGAACAATGCCTTATAAATGGTTGTGGTGCAATATAGTAAACTCCATCTCAAGGCAAGACAATCGTGGCACTTAAGCCAAGGAACATTAGACAGGCATCTCTTCATTAACAAGCTGCACTGATGTGCCTGCTGCTGCTATGCAATTTGTCCTCTCGGGAGAGCCAACAGGCAAGGATGTCACCCAGGTGTATAAGCAGGTTCTTTTGTTTAATCCCATCAGTTTCAAATTGTTTGAATTTAACAGGGGTGATATAATGTGCTACAGCTGCGCAGTGCATATGCACAACTTACGGGGCAGCCATATTCAACTTCCCTAGTGCTATTCAGTTTGGCTAAGCAAGAACTGAATAGAAAATTTTCATGAAAATATCAACATTTGCCTATGCAAGCTAACTCTGCCAACTATGCACCAATACAATGAGCTGGCCAGATGCCAGCGACGAATACCTACATAGCCATTTCTTTTGAGCGTTTACTGGTTTATGATTAGTACAACTATGTGTCGGTAACTTAGCGACGACGTTCCCCTTCCTGGCATTAGCTTAGCCGCGCTAACATTTAGCTTTCAACCCCCATTCTGATTATCTCTACTAGCTAGCTATCCATTTCACTCCACCCAAACCCCTCCCCCATGACACCCACTTTAAACGCAAAAAATACGTCAAATGTAATTTAATTTCATACCTGGGGTGAGCCGGTGTTCGCCTCCGATGGCCGGAGGGGACATCGAATGCGTTGGGCTGTCGACTGGAGGACGGAGGTTGCATCTTTGAGGGGACGGAGTGCCAGGAGTCCCCGGTAGTGGATTGCACCTTCTCCGTTTGGGAGACTGGGGACTGAGGAGGGCCTCAAACTCTATCGGCCGCTTTAACGTAGCTCCACAAGCCATATTAGCTAAATAAAACGGGGGCACTAGGTTGTAGAAAATTCGACCCGCAAAAACTGGGGTTTAGTGATGGTAGTTTGTACGCTTAAGGTTCCTTGAATTTCTTGAGCCTTTCTCCCTGTCCACAACGGATTTTCTTCTCTGAGTAGCAAACCAGCCAATTACCGAGCCAGCCTACTGAATTTTAAAAACGTCACAATGGTAGAGCCTACCATTGGCGGACAGAGGGGGGTTCTCAGATATTGACAATAAAATATCTTTTATTGCCCACTGATTTGAATTGTAAATGTTATCAAAACTTGTTTGTTTATGGAATTAAGCAATACACCCTGGATTAAACTGTGACTTTATTTTCTCCTCTGCCGTCTTTATGCTGCGTTTTCAAGCCATTCAACCCTGTTGTTTTTGATGGCTTTCTGTTGAACTCAAATTGAAGGTTCACGAGGCGTCTGGTGACGGCGGTGGTCAGGTGAAACAGGTAGATTAAAAATGACCTCCAGTGGGATGTTAGACTCAAATGTCCCCCAGTAGGGCGCAGATTGCATTATTTGCCATCAACTGATAGCCCCACCAGCTATTTTGTGGCTATTAGCTAGATAAATAGCTCTTTACAAGTTGTATGTCCATACAACTTAAAGATGATAATGATCAGAAACTGAGACCCTGAGCAATAAATACTGTTTATGTTAGTTAGTTAACAGGCTACTACCCACCATGAACCACCTTGGCCTAAATATTTGGCTATTTGGCCGACTTGTCTACATTAGGTTGAAATAATTTTCGGAATTTTTGCGCACTAGACTTTATTGCATGAACACATTTGTATTGCATGTATACATAGTTTATTTTGCTATCTCACTGTCCTGTGTTTACATGCGCCACATCTCGACTGTATGCATCAATAACCAGTCACAGCTCACTAAAGTCCATTGTTTTGAGTAACCACTTGAAACTGGCATTGTCCAGAGAGAAATCATCCACTTTAAATGTGCTTCTGTCTCAACTACTGGAAGACCATGTGGCTGTGACAGTTTGTTTCATGTGTAAGAAGTTTCTCTGCAGATCAAATATATGGATAGCATAAAATGAACTCTGCTGATGAGAGCATGGCAGCACAGGAGTATTTTGCATGTCACCTCTGGCAGCAACAACTGATAAAAAGACATCATCAGAGACTGGTGTGTGCCAGCCTTTTTGTTACTTTATAATGAATAAGGATGTTGATTGGAAGGAGCTGCATTGCGTCTTTGTGGATTTAGAGAAAGCGTACGACAGAGTGCCGATAGAGGAGCTATGGTACTGTATGAGGATGTCAGGAATGGCAGAGAAGTACATCAGAGTAGTTCAGAATATGTATGAGAGGAGTACGACAGTAGTGAGATGTGCTGTAGGTCAGACAGAAGAGTACAAGGTGGAGGTGGGGCTACATCAAGGATCGGCTTTGAGTCCTTTCTTGTTTGCTGTGGTGATGGACAAGTTGACAGATGAGGTCAGAGAGGAATCTTTGTGGACAATGATGTTTGCGGATGACATTGTGATCTGTAGCGAGAGCAGAGAGCAGGTGGAGGAACACCTGGAAAGGTGGAGGTCTGCTCTGGAAAGAAGAGGAAGAGTGTAGGACAGAGGTGAAGAGGCGAGTGCAGGCAGGTTGGAGTGGGTGGAGAAAGGTGTCAGGAGTGTTGTGTGATAGAAGAGTGTCAGCAAGAATCAAAGGAAAGGTGTACAAGACAGTAGTGAGACCAGCTATGTTGTATGGGTTAGAGACTGTAGCAGTGAGGAAAAGACAAGAGGCAGAGATGGAGGTAGCAGAAATGAGAATGTTGAGGTTCTGTTTAGGAGTGACCAGGATGGACAGGATTAGGAATGAGCACATCAGAGGGACAGCTCAGGTCGGCTGTTTTGGGGACAAGGTCAGAGAGGCAAGATTGAGATGGTTTGGACATGTGCAGAGGAGGGATAGTGGTTATATTGGTAGAAGGATGTTGGAGATGGAGCTGCCAGGCAAGAGGTCAAGAGGAAGGCCAAACAGGAGATATATGGATGTGCTAAAAGTGGACATAAAGTTATATGGGGCGAGAGTAGAGGATGCCTGAGGATAGAGTTAGGTGGAAACAGATGATTCGCTGTGGCGACCCCTAACGGGAACAGCCAAAAGAAGAAGAAGAAGAAGAAATAAGGATGATAAGATGAGTAACAACAATGGAATTTGTTTATAAATAAATACATAATGAGCCAAAGTAGAGTATGGTCTAGTATTACTTTTAATCAGTTGATTCAATTGTTCAAACATGTTCTGTTTAGTATCCAACAAGGTAAGATAATGGATAATCACCTTTATTGGCCAAGTATGTTACACACAAGGAATTTGTTTCCAGTACAAAACCGATGACAGCCATCTGCAGTGCCAACTCAACCGATGGCTCTAACCATCCGGGGCAACTGGGGGGGTTCAGCGTCTTGCCCAAGGACACTTCAACATGTGGACTGCAGGCACTGAGATTCAAACCTTCAACCGTCTGGTTGGGAGACGACTGCTCTACCCACCGCACCACTGTCGCCTCCCCAAAGATCAGTAGGTGTTTAAAACATTTGCAGCTGTGAGATCAAGTCCATGTGAGGATGTGTGTTACTGCAGCTGCCAGTGGTCATTATTGCAAAGAGTGTTCTAGTGCCTATGCTCATTCTCTTCCTGACATGTGCCCCATTTACCTCTGTGCATTACGTGGACTCATGTAGTGAACACTGTATAAAGGCGTCACATGCATGGGGCTTTTGTCAAGTCCTGTATTCATGTGCATATAGGAAACCCACAGGGACCTCCTCTCCTACATACTCAGTGATAAACACTCAAACAAGTATACAAACCACAATTGGTGGATCCAAATCTAAGTCAGCAGTTCACTTCATAGGACCAAATTTTTCCTAGGAGTGAGAGCATTAAAGCACTGACATGGGAGGCACAGGGGGTCAGGGGTTAGGGGTCAGATGGCCACATTGCGCTATTCACTTTTAAAACATACATGATTCATTTTGTTTGTCTTAAATGCCTATGCATCTCCACTGGAGTCTATTACTAATTAATAGTCCTTTTAGTCCTGGTTATTATAACAAAATGCTTTATAAACTACTATCCTTCTTGAAAGTAAGCAGCTATATTTTAAAATCACACGCTATTAATTATACTTATTAGTAATACTAATACAGGTTTACCATAATCTAACTCAGGGGTTTTCAACTAATTGTGACCCAGGGAATACCGCTATGACAAAGACCTGACCAGAGGACCAATGGAGTGGATAGACTGTAGGAGTACTATTTTAATCCTAGATGTCACCTTGACATTTCTAAGTCTTATATATATGCATGAATTTAGTTATTCACAAACAATAATTAATACATGGAAATATGTTTTTAAAAAATCCTACCGTAAATCTGCATTATTGATCAGGGACCATCTGCCCTGCCTTCGAGGACCACTAGTTGAAAACCCCTGATCTAACTAATTAACCAATATTAAAATGTTATTATGATGAAAGTAATGTGTAATGATAATAAACTGATAAACTAATGTTTCTCCTTACATCCTGATTTTAGTTGTTGTAATTGCATGTAAAACCCAGTTACATGTTTCCCATTTTAAAGACTGCCATATTTTTTAACAAATGTATGTATTCACATTATTCAGAATTTATTGTGTAATAGTCTTCACCAAAGTACCCATGTTCAAAAAAAGCAAGTTATGCCAGCTCTAATAATTTGACTGCAATGAATACTACCATTGGGTTCTGTGGATTTGAATCTTACGCTACAGTAAAGTTGATTGTTTTCTATCATTGAATGCTTTTCCTCGCCACCAGCCACAGTGCCATAAACATATTTCAGATATTTCTCCGTTTGTATTGCACTTCTTCATTTCACCTTTCCACCTCATCATATTCTAATGTTTGGTTGCTGATTGTTCACTGTTTCTGAGACTGAGTTAAGTTGGGTGGTTTTGGTCTTGGGCAGCTCAGCCTCACTCAAGGCAGTAACGTTGTTGTCTTCTGCAGATGATAGTTTTGGGGTCAAATCCTCAGTAGATATTTTACACCTCCCAATCTCACACAGCCTTTGCAGCAGCTGCAGCAGAGCAATTCTCAACTCTCGGCAGCGTAGGGCATACAGCAATGGGTTGACTGCAGAGTTGAGCAGGCAGAGGGTGCTGCAAAAGGCAAAGGTTCTCTGCTGTGTGTGGGTCAGGACAATGGAGACATCAGTTAGCATGATGGAAAGTGCAGGAAGCCAGCAGCCCACCAGTATCAGCAGGATTAAGCCAAAGGTACGAGCCAGACGAATATCCATCCTCATGCGGGCATGACCTGTGCCTGCTGCTCCCTGGAGACTGGTCATGGAGGATTCATGGCGATGGGCCTTCCACAAAATGAGGGCGTAAGCCCCCAGAATAAGAGCCAAAAGTAACAGGATGAAGCTGATCCAGGAAGCCAGATATCCCTGGTTGATGTAAGGGAAGAGACGTGAGCAGGGTGGCCGAAGACCTGTGGGACACCTCCAGCCCATCAAAGGCAAGAAGGAGATGAAGATGGTGGTGCTCCAGAGAATGAGAAGGCTCATCAGGGCTCGCCGGCGGGTCAGCAGCACTTTGTACCTGCAGGCCTGGTGGATGCAGAGGTAGCGGTCCAGGGCAGTCAGCAATAAGCTCCCCACTGAGCTAGTGAATGCTAGGGTGACACCACCTAACTTGAAGAGATAGGCAGTGGAGCTATCACTGCGACGGAAGAGGTGAAAGTCCAGGAAGCTTGTGGTGTAGAAGCAGCTGGCGAAGACATCAGCTAGAGCAAGGCTGCCAATGAACAGGTAGGAAGGCCGCTTCCGAAGAGTGGCTGTAGTAGCAATCACCCCCAGCACAAGAGCATTTTCCAGCAGTGTGATAGGACCTGCCAGGAAACAGATAGAGCCAATGGCTGTTCTCTCTGCTTTCGTGAGGACCATGTAGCATTCCAGACTCTCACAAGATGTGTTAGCTGTGAGGAAAAACACAAATGTTAGTAGATAGGTGAGCTAAAATCTTTGCCACATTTCAAAAGAAATAAAAACAAATTCAAAAGAAATCAGGTATTTACAGATGACTACTTACCTACTGATGGAGAGACATTCTCTTTAGCATCAGTGGGACCTAAAGAAGTGGGAACCTCCCATTCCTCCATGTCATTTGACAATGCTAAATGTAATTAGAAAATAAAGTAAGCATTTAAATGTGTAGTTTTTTTGGAAATTACACCAATAATAAATGCATTTGTAACAAAACTGCAAATAAAAGAATTCATCGGGATGTCTCTAAAGACAGAAAAAATATGTTAATTAAAACTGCCTTTTCCCCATTTTCCATTATTACCTAAACAGCTCTTAATGAAAACACTTTAAGGACTTTGATACACTATTCTTTAGAAAATAAATACATGGCTAGAAAATAATAATGTGATTTGTGAACTTGCATTGCCTCAATTCATGAAATGAACAAGTAAATAATATCAGCAATCAGAAAAATGAAACATTGATTTTATCTACAAGGTTTTTATATCATTAAATATGTGGTTAATGTGATTACTTGATTTTTCCTTGTAGTATTCACTGTGGTCCATATTATATTAGATCTATATTTCCACAGTCACTTTGACTGGGATTTTACTTAATGCACTCAGCTACTGTACTTGCCTATTAAAAAGGAAAAACACTGCCGCCTTTTGGAATCAGACTGGATTGTAGTTTAACTGGGCAGTTAACTGGTGGGTGAAGGTTACCATTTGAACAATCTGTTGCAGAGTGCATGACCTGTATGCAGTCATTTTGGGAAGATGATGTCTACTTAAACTGGTATGGCCACATATAATTGTTTAAAAAGAGCATCTTAAACATGAGGACTGTTCTGCACAGGCAACAGCATGACCAAAACACACAAAATAAATGAAATCACAGTAATCTTGAAGGAAAAAAAATTGAGGTCAACTAAGGAACATAGACTACGTACAAAACATTTGGTGCAGCTACACGTGTCAGATTTGGCATATAAGGACGTCAAACGGTGTTAGTGGTGGACTCAAGCTCAGAAGGTCGGTACACTGCAGGCAATCAGACACTGGAAGGACATAGGCAATAAACGGTGGTCAAAACAAACAATCCAAGGTCAGAAACAGAGTCAGGCAAGGTATGGATGCTGGAGAGTCAGAGCTAGAGTCTAGAACAATCTGGCAGGGATAGGAGGGTGAAGGCTGCTTATATTATGGTGCGAACAGGTGCAAACTATCGGGAGCAGGTGAAACTAATGTAAGTGGTTAGTGAACGTAAAGTGACCGAAACAGAGGTGAAAAAAAAAAAACAGGAAGTAACGTAAAAATAAAAGCCTGACAGGAAGCAACGGAACCGAATCGTGACACACATGAATGTTGCAGTATAATTGATTATCATTGGGAGTAGACTAACTTTGTCCTTTGTTCCATTGTCCTCCTTTTATTCTGTTTCCAGTTTTTCATCACAAATATAACGATACCTTATGAAAGCATCACAAATATACATGGTGTAAGTAAATTACTTTCCACAAAGCTCCCTACTGACTTGATGGGCAATATTTCTCAGTATATTAGGCCACAGAAGTGCGTGCGCTGTGGAACTATTACATCACCTCCGGCTTCTCTTTTCTCACTTAGTGAAAAATCTTGATTGACAGTGCAGCGTGTTCTTTTAACAGGCTGATGTATTTTGACTGTCAAGAAGCAATCATTCAGGAAAGTACCTGCATACAGAAGACAGTTTATAAAAATAAACTAACAAAAAAAACAAACATGCAGGCATCCATTTTCATCACACTGCTGATGACATGCACACTGAAATAGCCTATTATGTGGCAATAACCTCTTGAGTCAATGTTGCACTGTTTCAACATATCACGTTTTACTGGCTTAAGTAATGAACTCACTCTTCACAATTAGTTGCTTTATAATAGAAATGTTATAAAATAGATCAAAGGTAGCAGATCTACACTGCAAATACATGTATTAAATACAAGTGAAGCTGTTCAAGAACATACTTTTTTAAAGTAGTATCATCCCAACGCCCATTCAAAGCTAAATTCAGGAATAATAAGGTCAATGGATTTTAAACATCTAATAATCAAATTATCTTTTAAATCTTACCTTATCTTCTCTTTTGCCAGTGGCTTTTAGTTGAGCTGATTTCCTGTCTCACTCAGCAGCAGTACAACCACAAGATGAAATAAAAGACCTAAAGAATTGACTGGTGATAAGATGTGAAACTGAGAAGGAAGGATAAGGAGGGTGGTTATAATGACAAGAGGAAGGAGGTGAGAGAGAGAGAGAGAGACAAGAGGAAGGGGTGAGAGAGAGAGAGAGAGAGAGAGACTAAAGAAACATGGATGACACCAAATTATACTCTTTTGCAGTAGCCTAAAGTCCACTTTGTGCTGACCTCAATCAAACATTTTCATAGAGAACTAGAGACTAAGTGTGCTCATGGCACATCTGACTGTTGTGTCCTTCGTGAGCGAAGTGTTTCAACCAGACAGGGTCAGGATGAACTCTGGGGAGGAGAGCACTTAAGTAGGGTGATAAGGTGTTGGATGCCAAGTGTAAAAAGGATTATTACATATATACACAAACATACATAAGTGATAATCCTGAGTATTTTTATTAGGCGTTAATTGGATCTTGAGTTTATAATAGCTTATATAATCGAATGTGGACTTTAATACTTACACCAGTAACCTTATTTTCATGTCTTTCCTATTCAATGTAGCTAAAGATATCTTGCATCTTTTTGCGCAGCAGGTTTTTCCTCTCACCTCTTTTGCTAATTACTTCCCACTTCATCTTCATTTGACAGACATGTCTCAAACACACACACACACACACACACACACACACACACACGCACACACCTTCCTTGTAAAATCACATATTTCATATTTTCTGCTATTTTTAGAGCACATTACTCAATACCTTAATTACCCACCTTCTGATGGGCAGCATAAAAATAGACTAATAAAAAAAGACTTGTTAGTTTAAACACTGTGTGTATAAAATTGTTTTACTCCTGCTGTTGCAAGTTCACCTGCCTTCTGTCTGCCCCAGTTGCTTGATTCTTTCATGTTCAAATTTTGGCAACATTTATGCAAAAATATGCCTGTTTTACCAATATATCCTCATTAATTTCAAATTTTTTACTTTGTTTTTGTGTGAAACATTCAGACATGTTCACATCAGATGTGCAAATCAGCCTTGGCATCATATTTCATAAGGATTTAGATATTTTTCTTCTGCACATTACTGACCAGTGCCCATGAAGCCAGTGGCAGGGTCAGAGTGTACTGTTGCTCTAAGTACAACAGGAGGCAATCTTATGCAAGTAAACACTGGGCACACCAAGTAACCTCATAATGATGACCATGAGTTAAAAGATTATTCTGTATTTTAATTTTTATTATTCTTCAACTTGCCACACACTCTGCTAAGCAATTAAATCTGTTTAATATAGCTAAGGTCCCTCTGGTAAAAAAAAATAAAAATAAAGTACATTAGTATGTCAATAACAAGTTAATCAGGTCACAAAATTGCATACCTGAGGCATTCTGCGATGAATTAGCAACCTATTTTAGCCTCTCAATTTAGAGAAAAGTATGTTCAATAACACAGTAACTGGGACTAACAAATAAATCTAATTAAATTACATGCAAGTAGGTCAGACACAGATGTTTTGTGACCTGTTATTCAAGTAAATTATTGATTTGACAAGCAAAAACAAAAACCAACTGGTCTTATAATAAGACTGATGGCTGCATCCACTCCTCCTCTGACCTGATGGAACAACAAGCCAGAAGGCAGGAAATGTGATTAGCAGCAGTAAGTACTTCCACAGTGAGATTTCCTCTTAGCCACTGTATGGCCTGGTGCAGCACAACATAACAGACAACAGGACAAAATAAAACCTACATCTTCAGTTTTCAGATTGACTACATCATCCTGTTCCACAATCCCATTTTAGAAACCACCCTTGACACAAATATCAGGGCTCACTTTTCTCTTTCACACCGATATAGGTTGAACCCATTAATCAGATTTCCTCTCCTCCTTTCCAGAGTGCCAGACCTTCAGAAAACACTCAGATCAGTGATGTGGAAAATAAAATCGAATTACTTAATATTAGATGGTTTGATAATGTTTAATTATTTACTCTGTGCTGTTTAGAATGTGACTGTGAAATAAAATGTATTTAAAAGACTTGTCTTGTCCTAACATGTTCTTGTGCACAGGGCAGTAGTATTTGTTCCAAGTAATTATTGAAGTATTTGGATGTTTTATATTTTCATTATTGAATTGCTTTTTCATTTTCTGCAAGATTTTAATTAGTTATCACATGTTCGAGCTTTAACAAGCTCCTATCTTTGGCACTGGATCCATTTAGATTGACACGTTAAAAGAAATGATTTGTTGTTCTATCAAAGCAAAATACAAGCTAAGGCGCAAGTGGGTCGTGGTGTACGACACCTCGGTGCGCGCATATGCACGTCGTAGTTGGTGCACTGCGGTGCGCACGCAGCAATCCATGTATTACGCACAAAGCGGAAGAAATGGACATGTAGGTATGCGACAAGACCTAAATTAAGTTTGAGTATTACCGATGATCTTTTTTGACTAAACAGTACTGACTCCTGTGGATAGACATAAGAACATTTTTTAGAGGAGGCCAAGACCTTTGTTGTCAGTGTGTCCGTTTCATTAAGCTACAGTTCTGAAACAGAATAGAGTTACTGTCAAAAGGGCAGCTTCTGTTGGCATCATCCCTGGGGTAAACCCAGTGAAAGACTGTATAAGGATTTGGGGGACTGGTTGACAGAAAATGAAAGTGCTTTGTTGAGTAATTAATTTATTTCGTAAGAAAAAACACCAAGAAAATCGCTTTCAGCTTCTCACATGTTAATATTTGCCGGGTTTCTTCTTGACAATAACAAACTTATTTTGGTTTCGGACTGCTGACTGTCACAAAATAGCCATTTTTGGATCACATTTAATGAATCAAGAAAATAACTGGCATATTAGTTGATAATGAACATAATTAGTTGTTGCCCTATAATAGATGACAAGTTTAGGTTCAAACATTTAAACAGAGGAGAAACATGACTTACATGTGCTTATGCCCTAGCGCCCTCTAGTGCATACAGCCGGAAAACCATGAGAAGCAATCATCAGTCAAGCTAAGATAATACTTATATATATAGGCTGATTTTATTTAGGACAAACCTACAATCTTGCCCTCACAATCTATTTTCATAACTTGTTAAATCTTCTACACACCAGTAGTCCCACTGATGTGTAATTGTAACTGAAAATAAATACATACTGAAAACTACAAGTGTGAAGCTGAAGCATGTTTCTGCAGACTTTGTTATTGTTGGAAGATGGACAGGGTTAGATGCCGAGGTCAGTGCTTCAGATTCCTGAGTCAAATGTTGTTCAGGAAGGCAGGACCTCCCAGCGGTGGTAAACAGAGGCGGGCAGATTGATACTGAGGCTGCACCAGGGAGCTGTGGAAGGACCAGAGCCAGTCTGTGGCAAGGGGGTGCACAAGTGAGTAGCAGGGTAAGGTTAACAGAGACAGGTAGGTAACAGCATCACTGGCTAAACAGCAACACACAGCAGGATAGGCTCAGCCAGGAGACACGGCCAGTGTAGCTGGGGATTCAGGAAACTCATAGGTAAGGTGGCAGAGTCAGAGTCGACAGCATACGGGCATCATAAGGATGAAAAGTAGCAAGAACAAGGAACACAGGTGAGTGGCAGACACAGAGCTGAGGGAAACTCACACAGCATACTGACATCATGAGGAGCAAACCAGTCAGGAATGAGGAACACAGGTGAGTGGCAGATGAAGACTCACCCAGTGTACTATTGTCATGAGGAGCAACCCAGTAAGATCAAGTGAACAGAGTCGGTTTCATCAGTGTTGTCAAAATCATACTGTTATCATGTCAAACCTCATCAATGGACCTGCGTGAAAGGACGAGGTATATATGGGGCTGTAGACTTGGAGATAATGAACAGCAGGTGAAAACAATGAACAGTGACTGTGTACTAAGGTAAAGCTGGGGCAGGTGAGGTGACACAGGGCAGGAAGTCTAACAAAATAAAAGCTCTCCAACCCAGAAGTGGTGCTAAACCATGAAAATAGGAACTTGAGTACCATGTCAAGGTCAAAGGTCAAGGTCGGTCAAAGGTCAAAGTGTTTATTTGTCATATGCACAGTTAGGAAACATGTTTCCCTGTACAATGAAATTCTTACTTTGCCGTACACATCAGTCGAACCTCCGGCCAGAGGGTAGGGAGGCGAACAGTCCGTGATGGGGGTGGGTGGGATCTTTGAGGATGGAGGCAGCCTTCCTATACACCCTGCGGTGGTAAATGTTCTGCAGAGAGGGCAGTGGAGTCCTGGTGATCTTCTCTGCAGCCTTTACCACTCTCTGCAGGCGCTTGTGGTCCATAGCAGTAGTGCTGCCGTACTAGACAGTGATGCAGCTGGTCAAGATGCTCTCAGTGATGCAGCTGTAGAAGTTGCTGAGGATCCTAAGTGACATGCCAAACCTCCTCAGCCTCCTCAGGAAGTACAGCCACTGTTGGGCCTTCTTAACCAGCTGTGCGGTGTTAAGTGTCCAAGTGAGGTCCTCACTGATGTGGATGCCCAGGTATTTGAAGCTGCTCACCCTCTACACTTTGAGCCCCCGAATGAACAGTGGCCGATGAGATCTCCTCTCCTTCCTCATGTCCACTATCATCTCCTTCGTCTTGTCTGTGTTAAAGTTCAGATTATTGTCCTTGCACCATGACACCAGACCGGCCACCTACCTTCTGTAGGCTGCTTCATCCCCGCCAGTGATGCGACCTAACACTGCGGTGTCGTCTGCAAACTTTAGGATGATGTTGTCCTTGTGGGAGGTGACACAGTCGTGGGTGAACAGGGAGTAGAGTACGGGACTGAGGACACATCCCTGTGGGGTGCTGATTTTTGTGATAATGCTGGCTGAAGTCTTATTGCCAATCCTGACAGTCACAGAGGGTGGGGTGCAGACCCAGTGTGGACAGTTTGTGGGTGAGTTTGTGGGGGATAACTGTGTTGAAGGCGGAGCTGTAGTCAATGATGAGTATACTGATGTAAGAGTCTCCATTTTCCAGGTGAGAAAGGGAATAGTGGAGGGCAGCCGTGATGGCATCTGAGGTGGCCCTGTTGGGCCGGTAGGCATACTGCAGCCTTGGCTACTCGTGCTCTCTTGTGTTTGTTGTTTTTCTTTGTTTTCTTGGTCTTTTGCAACTCATCCAGGATTACTTTTACCAGAGAAGAACTGTTAAATATTGGACAACTCACACCAAACTACCTTTCTCCGATTTTTGCGAACACAGAATGCTGTATGGACATTCTGATCGGATGCGCAGCTGCAATCTACGGGATCTGGAAGAAATGCTGGCTTGGCAAACGAGTGAGCACCTTAGTGAGGCTACGTCAGAGAGGGACCCGGACTCCACTCCCGTCTATCCACCTAGCAAATCTCCGCTCCCTATTCAACAAGATGGATGAAATTCTTCTCGTCAATGGGACCAAGTTTAGGTTCAAACATTTAAACAGAGGAGAAACATGACTTACATGTGCTTATGCCCTAGCGCCCTCTAGTGCATACAGCCGGAAAACCATGAGAAGCAATCATCAGTCAAGCTAAGATAATACTTATATATATAGGCTGATTTTATTTAGGACAAACCTACAATCTTGCCCTCACAATCTATTTTCATAACTTGTTAAATCTTCTACACACCAGTAGTCCCACTGATGTGTAATTGTAACTGAAAATAAATACATACTGAAAACTACAAGGAGGACAAGTAACACAGACTTAGAGACTCTTGTTATCCATTGCAAACCTTTTTATTCTCCTCGTAAATTTAACTCTTTCATTCTAATGGAAGTGTGCATAAGACCAGTGAAGCTGAAGCATGTTTCTGCAGACTTTGTTATTGTTGGAAGATGGACAGGGTTAGATGCCGAGGTCAGTGCTTCAGATTCCTGAGTCAAATGTTGTTCAGGAAGGCAGGACCTCCCAGCGGTGGTAAACAGAGGCGGGCAGAGTGATACTGAGGCTGCACCAGGGAGCTGTGGAAGGACCAGAGCCAGTCTGTGGCAAGGGGGTGCACAAGTGAGTAGCAGGGTAAGGTTAACAGAGACAGGTAGGTAACAGCATCACTGGCTAAACAGCAACACACAGCAGGATAGGCTCAGCAGCCCTTGGACTCTCTGATCACTGTATGGTCCATCTTATTCCAACCTAAGGCAGAAACCTAAAGCTGCAAAGCCTGTGGTCAAAACAGTGAAGAGCTGGAGGCTAAGTCAGAGTAACCTTTAAAATAAATGGAATATTACAGTCTACCATTCTATAAGACTAAAAGCTGAATATTCTGTACTTCAGTTGCCATTAAGAAAGTACTCAAAATGGTCTTGTCTTTTAAAATGTAGTGAGGTAAGTGGCCCATGGCTTGTATGCCCCCTTTTCTTACTTCCTGCAGGTTATACTAATCTTTTAGGAACCCCCCACACACCTATTCTCCAGGTTACTAGAGTCCATTGTAAATAATCCAAGTCAACTTGAAATTGGGCCTTTGTTAAAACTAATTTTGGATTATGTCACAAAGATATAAATCAACTAGCCTGTCATATCAATATTTGGAACTAATAGGGGTCTATTAAAAAGAACAATCTCCCTTTCCCATTTTCATTTCACCACTTTGCCAACAGTTGGAAAATGATAAAAGGGCAACATAGCGATGTAAGAAATAATCAGATCCTTCATTTAAAGAAAAGTGCCAATAGCCTACCAGTTTCAAAATACTACAATTAAAAATTTCTCCTAAATTCAAAATCTTATTTAAGTAAAAGTACCAAAATATTATGAGTAAAATTTAAAAATAATGTAAAAGTAGGCCTATTTATGCAGTAAAATGCCTCCTGTGACTGAAATATTATAGCCTATATGATGATATGATGTTGTTACTCAACTACACACTTTTTTAGTAACTCATCACTTGTCAAAATGGTTGCAAACCATTGATTTAATCTTTATTTTGTATTTTATTATGTTTATCTTATCACCTTGTCGTTTGTGTTTTTTGGTGTGAAGTCTCATCCTTAAAATCCTAAGCAACACTACTCCACCATTGGGGCTAAATGATGAGATGGGGGTGGGTAGCTTACAGACAAGAGCTGTTGTGTAGTCATTAAAGTCTATTGCAGCTGTTTCAACAACAGATTGTGGTCTCAACCCATCATAACAAGTTTCAGCTGAGAGCACAGGAAGCTGTGGTACAACGCATTTGTTTTACAGTAATAAAAAAGTACAAAGTACCTCAACAAATTTAAAGATTGGACGTGTTTACCTTGTTATTTGAACAAAGAATCGACAAAGCATAACACAAAACTGCTTCTACTGTTATCCATAATATTCAAGTAATGTTGTATGCAACACAGTAGTTAGTTCCTGTGTAATAAACTTTGAAAGGGTAAGGCTTTCGATGACTGGTTTTTGTTTTGTGTTCTCACTTCTCACAGGAAATACCCTAACAAAGGAGGGAGAGGGACTGACGTATCTACTCTGGCAACAGGCGTGAATGCGTCGCACCGTTTCTTCGCTGATTGGTCGCTCAGTTTAAACTCGGTACCTGATTGGTTAGAAATGGGTAAGAACAAACGACATAGTTCTGTTGTAGATTCCATTTTGTCGAAATTTAGAAGGAGTCAGTAGGGAGAGGTGTAGGTTATATACGGCCACGTCTAACACCACAAAAGCTTCTGGGGTGACGGATTTGTAGGAAGTATAGTTTGCTGTGCTTTCTACGAAATCCACAGGGTGATTGTAGAGGCTAATACTCTTCTGACGAAAGGCTTAAACAACCAAGCCTGAAGAAGTCGGTAAGGGAAACAGTTTTGTGCGTCGTCGCCATATTGAACTCAATCTTTCTTTGTTTTGATGCCAAAGTGTTGTGACATTGATTTGTTAAATCGTTATCTACTTGACCAATGATTCGGATTATTAATCAGATGTAACCTGGATCAAGGTTATTATTATAGGTTGGTTTTTGTAGCTCTTAAAACCGTCGCATAGCCATTTTGCAGAACAAAGCGACTGCAGTTAATGTCAAACCAGGTTGGGGGGCGCCTAAACATAACATGTCGCAGTTTTCTTATGTAATGTTATTGTGTTGTTGTGCCAATCGTCTGTAGTTAAGTTTTACACGGTGTTATTTCTTCATCACGAAATATAGGTTTTGTGATTTATTTATTTATTTATTCTTTTGAATTTTGCAGCGCAAGATGTGACGCACTTTGAAATACGTCTCCTCCTGGATGATACTTTAAAGGAGTTAATGGACGGATTTCAACACTGTCCTTCTTGTTAAATCATATCCGTTTAACATCACTGAATAATATTTTCGCCCACTTTAAGGTCTTCGACTTCTTGGAACATCGTGCGCCGAGGTGAATTGATGTTCAGCTGGGCTCCGCGAGAAAACAACGCTCATCGGCACATGAAAACCTCATACTTTTCTGGACACAAAAGTGCTGCAAAAAGTAGACAGAAAACTATTTCGAGGACCTGGGGCCCGATAGGAGGCGAAAGATTAAAGAGAGATTCCTGCTTTGCCAACTTTCTGACAACAAAGAGGTGAGCAGGAGCTGCTTTACTATCGGTAGTGTGTGGGGGAGGGGCGCCGTGGGCCTGGTGTTGCTGCACTTAGCCCTGTGTGCTTGTTGTTACTTAGAGATGTGGGGGTGGGTACGCACTGTCAGGTTTTACCCTGCAAATAAATACCATGTTACTTGAGCGATAACAATACATTCTCAGATTATGAGAATGTACTTTATTTCTATTTTTTATCTCTTCCTAATGCACATTCCTTTTGCTTGTTTGCACATTACTTTACTTTATGTTCTCTCAGCCTTGTATTGTACATGCACGTGCACATTGAGTCGCTGTACCAGAGTAAAATTCCTTGTGTTCAACAAACCTGGCCAATAAAGCTGATTCAGATTCTGATTATCACTGCACTTGAATAATTATAAATTTCCATCATGTAGGTGACACGTAGTGCAAAAGCAATATGGGAGGTGGAGAGCGGTACAACATTCCAGTTTCCCACCCTCAGTGTCCTTTGGCCAAGAAGAACCATCAGCTTGGCCGGGCTAAGCAGAGAAGCCGTGACCACAATGTAACAGCAGCATCTACAGGAGGGGCAGGGGGCCTTCACCATCATGGCCACCGCCGGAGCGACAAAGGCGCAGCCTACCACAGGTCTCCAGAGTCGCGGCAGGCCGCGTCTGCAGAGAAGAATGCTTCTGTCCGTTTTGCCACCAGCTATGATCAGACCTGGGAGGGCGCAGTGTCTCACCTCAACACAATCCTGGCCACCCAAGGAAGTCCGAGCTATGCGGGGCCTAAGTTCAGTGAGCCACCCTCACCCAGTGTGTTGCCCAAACCCCCCAGCCACTGGGTGTCCTTCCCAATGGGCTCCTGTGACAACAAGGAGATGATGGCCTTCCAGCTCAAGAGCCTTCTCAAGGTGCAGGCCTGAGGGGGGGCACCCACACTCAATCAAAAAAAACAAAAAAAAAACAAGCCATTGCATAAACTGGCCCTCTTTTCAGGGTGCCCACCCACCAGGAACACCTCAGAGCTGTAATACTATTTGTTTTTAGCTTGATCTCTTAGAGGGTTAGGATGCATTTGCAGCAACCCAACCCATTTTTTAAAACCAATATTTAAAAATATTACAGCCATGCAGCCTTGCTGGTCGGTGATGCCTTCAGTGGAGTCGGTTTATGTGGTGACGAGCTGGATATCCGTTGTACTTTTGTTTTGTTCTTAATATTGGCTATCAAAGCAGATATGAGTGTGTTTTCTTTTTCCAAACAAGGGTTATAGTATTAGGTCAGGTAAGTTCCCATCACTTTTATGGTCCATTTCTGTGGACAGACACATTTTTTAATTTACAGAAGTTATCATCTTCTTTTGGGGCCACTTTTAAAGCATAAAGTCAAATTTGTAGCAGTCTGACAGGGCCCACTCTTGTTGTTATGTATAACATTTCTTGTATGGATTGGAAAAGACACTCGACTGCAATTCTGCAGGGAAAATGCTATCTTACTGGAGGTGAAGCTGTGGTGAACAAGTATAGATTAAGAATATAACCTCAAATTTGAAGGGTAGTTAAGAGACCATGGCACACAGGCCTTAGACTTTCAACTCCTGTACTTTTTTTATTGCGCTGTGCGCACATGCACTATGGGAGTCACGCTTGTCTAAGGACCAGAATATTCTATATCATAGCATTATTTTGTACAAATCCTTTTTTTGTTCTGGTTGAAAGCTGTATGAAGTGCTGTGTGTAACCAAAGCAATGCTTTTTTTTTTTTTTTTTTTTTTCCTTTTTTGGTCAGACTGTATGTACAATTGGCTTTGTTGCCATTTTAACCTTGCCAGCCCAAGTGGTAAATTGGTTAGTCCCTGGGTCACCTTTTAACTGTACATCTTTTCAAATCAGTACTGTTATTCCCAGTGGCGGGCCGTGCATTTGGTACCTGGGCCTTCAGTGGAGACTTACCCAACTTAATTCACCTCTTAATACCACCACTGTATGTCGCAAATATAGAGACCATCAATGCTATACAAAAACGCAATATAATAAAGTGTGGCATTACAGAGAGAGAGGTATTTCGCGTATTGAGGGTGAATACCATTTTTACTAAAGCAAGAAACCCAGTTAAGACAACTCCAAAACCTCTACAACCGCAACTATGATCTCTACTTTTCAGTTCCATCGTAAGCCCTTTTCTAGTTTTGACCAACCAATCAGAGGACGGAAAAATGCTGACATCATTGTAGGCCAGCTAGCTGGCCCTGTGAGGTGAATTTGAAATCTGATTGGTTAAAGAAGCAGTCCCATTGCTAATATAGTTTAAGTTACATGGGCCAGCACTTCTGATTCTGAAGGCCCTGGGCAGATTAGATTGACATGGCAACACATAGAGGCTGAAATCTGATTGGACAAAAAAAATCTAACATCCACATACACGTACTGGAAGCGGTGCAGCCAAGAGAAATGCTACGAAATGAAGAGAACAGACTGTTGGGAATAAATTAATACAATTTCATGTAACAAATATTAGAATTTCGGTTGTAAATGTAGGTCAGTGCTTCTAATAGTGTTTAGGCCAGCAGAGAAGGCCTTGCTGGCCCTGACGGCCCGCCACTGGTTATTACTCCTTAGTCGCTGTCTGTTCAGGACATTGCTGCAGCTTAACATGCGGAAGAGGGCCAGGCTTAGATGTGGGCTTTGACTCACAAAATGTGGTCCTGTTGGCTGCATGCATTTGTAAGCAAGTAAGGCAGAGATGAAGAAGGTTTCTGAAGTGAAGTGGCCCAAGGGACTTAACATTAAGCAGGAGGCTGGTGTTTGTTTACACAATCTGTCTCTGTGTTTGACCATCCCATAAGCAGCAGAGACTTGCTGCCTTTTACCTCCGCCTCTTGCAATGCAAAGACAATTTTCAGTTTTGACATTTTGTTCCTCATCAGTTACAAGCCAAGTTGTTGTGAAATGGAGGCATAATTGGCTTTCTCCCTATGGGTTCTCCTTGATTCAGTTCTCTGAGGAGACTGTTTTTGCTTTTCCTTTGCAGAATTGGTACTTTTATAGCCAGTCTAAAAATGACAAAACAAATTGCTAGTTAGTGTTGAAGAGCCATGTAAATAATGAAATGTATAAAGTACTTGTAGCATATGTACATTTGCAGACCAAGTTTGTGGCCTGCCTGACAAAAGTATTTTTAGTAATAACACTGAATGTGTAAGACATGCTAAGGACATGTCTTTACTTCAATACTTAAGAATATTTTTGTTAAAAAAAAAAATCTGCCTATAGCGTTTGTCTGGATCCCTGCACTGCAATCTTTCAAGAGATCTTGCACACATTTTTTTTATTGTTTTGTATTGTGCAGTGTAGGGTGAAAGATGCTAAATGCAAATCGAGACTGCAACAAAATATCAATTGGATCTTGGGAGACTTGCAAGTGTTTGGATTTGAGTTCTGATTGTGTTTACAGTATGTAAGCATGATGGTTTTAGTCTTGAGTTGATCTGTTTGTGCCTAAGTTGAAACCCATGCTGAAATTATTTTCATTAGGTGGCAATGCCACAAATTGACCAAATGTTTTTAACAGAACCACATTCACTTCTTAGCTGTTCTTCCGCCAGCTGACAACTGAAGGTGGCCCCATGCTGGTTTAAGTACTACCTTATATTTGGTTCTTGATGTAAACATTTTCTTGTCCTGATTGGGTTGTGCATGGCAAAGTCTCCTTGTTCTACATTTTAACCTTTTAATGAATTGGCCATGAATTTGTCACTGAAGATGAAAAGAAATGCGCCCTTTTTGAGATTTGGTATGAATTGGTGTTTAAAAAAAAGAAAGCAAACAAACATGGACTCTGAATTGATGACATTTTACAAAAAAACAAAAACAATAAACCCCTTTTCCCCTACTATTGTTTGTGCTTGAGTAATATTCTGCTTGCTTTAATACAGGATTTTTACAGCCCAGGAACAGACCTTTCACATTTAGTAGTCACAACCGGTTATGGCCGTCGGAACGCGCTTCCTATAATCCTACTCACAGTACAACTTGGGTGTAATAAAAAAAAAAATTAATAATAATAATTTATTTTTTCATTGCTGTAGTACACAAAGTAAGCTGTGACGATGACGGTACTTGGGAACACTAAATATTCAGTTGACTGCTTTACTGAACAGTACATGAGAAGCATGGTCATACGAAAATATATTTAGACAAGATTAGGCAGTAACTGTTCTATACATTATTCAACAACATAGAAACACAGCTCCTGCTGCTACACTTTCCTTTGGCCAGTTTTTTCCTCAGTGCAACAGAAACATCCTCAGACACCTATAAAAAGGGGCTTTGGAAGAACGCAGTGGCAATCAGCCAGGACCTGGAGCGAAAGCATGACGGGGACATGGATCTAGAGTAGAAGTGAGATGGAGATTGTCCCATAGACCTTTTTGGGGGATATGGAGGTTGGGTGGAAATATTCTGCTGGGTTGTGGGACCCGAACTTGTTCTTTTCACTTTTTGGCTTGAACCTGGAAGATGAAAGGGAGTGGGACACAGAGCAGCTACATGATCCTGGCTTTTGGTGTGTTCTGTAATGATCAAGGGCTTCTGTACCTGGTGAGATAAGTGCAATTAGCGATGAGGCAATGCAACAGTTATGTAATTATTGTGAGATGACAACTATCTTGTCATTTTCACAGCTTCTGCTCTGTGTCGACTGTAAGACTGTAAAGAAGGAGAGCGAACCAGTTTTTCAGGTTGCAACTTGTGACCAGGTTAAGACAACAATGGGTTCTTCCTCCTCACAGACACTTGTTATACCAGTCCTGAGAAGGCCAGCATGTATCCCCTCAATTTAGTAAGCGACCACAAAAATTAAGAACCAAGACCTCTTCAGTTTCAGTAATCTTTCATTTTACTTTCTCCCTTTGTCTTTGTGTATTGGAGATAAATGAAGAGAAAAGGGTTAGATGTTGGTGTATGCCAGGGTCTGTCAAAATGTCCTAACTACATTAGCCCTCGACTGTCCTTAAATTTTAAATAACAGTGCCAATATAGCATTAGAGTTTTATTACATTTATTTGACAAGTTCAATATGTTCTACAGTTAGGAAGGTTTCCCGATTTAGCTCCGAATTGTTTACTTTTTCTTTGATCAGATATTTCCAAAGATATTTCCGTAAATAAAGCAAAGCTCAACTCACTTTCAAGGGCTCTCAGAACTCAGAGGATGGCACTCGTAGAAAGGACCTGTGGTGATCATAGCTGCAGCTCTGGGACCATCTTTGCTGGCCATCATGATCATCATCATCATGGTGGGAGACATTGCGAGGTGAATGGTGCTCCTTGGCTTTTATCTGGCTAGGAGCTTGAAGGACAAACTTGACTTGATGCACGCAGGCTTTATTCAGTGTTCGGAGATTTACGTGAACGTATTGACATTTATGTTGCAATGTTTGCCAGTGATTTCCAGTTGTGTAGCCTATATACAATTAATAATATAATTAATTTATTAACACGGCCCATGTATGGATTTATGAAAAGGAATAATCAGGAGAAGGGGTGAGGGACATGTTTTAGATGAGCTTTGCTTTATTTACGGAAATATCTTTGGGGGGTTAATTTAGGTTTTTTGAAAATTTATGAGTCAGTGAGCATCCTTGCTGTCTGCACCCAGGCAAGAAAAATATTAAAGGCTTTTGTAAAATTCTAGTGTATTGTACGGCCTTACCTGAATTCAGTGTTTCAAAACTGTTCAAGACCTATAGATACTATAGACACACCCCCACCACCAGCAGGGGTCTCAGTTAATCTAAACTGCCATCAAAACCTTATCAACCCTTTACTTAAAATATTTTTTCCACAGGTCTGTTTCACTATTTGCCTAATTCATATATAATATTTATTTTACATTAAATTGGAAATGAGTAGATCATTATAAAAAGAGTCGTGCATGGGCATTTGGACAAGAATGTGACACAAACCACATTTATTAAGCAAAATGTTTATTTAAATAGACTGGTTTCTTCAGTGCCAGGTTTATATCTTTTTGCTCTTCCTGATGAGGGTTGTTGACCCCTTGGTCAAAGTCTGAAACAGGATATGAAAAAATGAAGCAGATTTGTGGCTAGTAGTGGTGGCACGTAACTAAGTACATTTGCTCAAGTAAAACACTAATGTACATGTACTGTTCTTGAATAGCTGAATATTCATTCTCCTCTACACAAGGAAATATGTTTTAATTACTTTTCACCTCACTACATTTATTTTACACCTGCAGTTACTAGTCACTTTAAAGATTAAGATTCTATATGTGAACATAAGATTATTTTATAATATACTGTTTTAAATTACATCACAAACAGTATCAATAGTTGTTAAAATGTAGTGGCACTTTGATAAAAGTATGCTTATGTTAACCCATCAGTAATAATATTCCAATCATTTATTACAACACTGAGTTCTGGTAAGGTATACTGTACCTCAACCATCTCTTCTCCCTTGAGCTCTTGGATGTGGCAGAACGTTCCGGTTCTGCAGACCAGTTTGCCACCCTCCAGGTTAACAGTACACTGGGGGTCAGAGGAGGAGACAGTACATATCATAGCTCTCCCAAAACAGGTGTGGACCCATAAAAAACTGAACAAATCACTGACGTGTGCAACATTATCATTACCTTTGAAGTTTCTGAGACTCTGTACACTTGGAGGCTCATTACTAAATATAAAAATTACCTCTGCTTTAAACTTATTAAACTACACTTACATATATGTCACTAATTCAAGAAAACAGTAATACTGATAATGCTGATTTGGCATTGAAGTACTTTGTAGTTGCTATGTTTCTTTCAAAATAATAGGTCAATTAGAATGACAAACCTTGACCTTTTTGCCATCCATGGTGGTGATTTCGGCCTCCCTGCCAATGGTAAAAGAGTTGGTCACAGACTTTCCAGGGGTCTTGGTGGTGACAACAAAGTCGTTGCCATTCTGCTTGATCTCAGTAATTGGCTTGATATCCTTGGCCATCTTGATGACATCTTCTGTGAGTCCTGTTGAGCAAAACACAGTACAGCACACAAATAAGGCCTGATGACTCTCTGGACTGCAAAGTTGTGTTGTCTGATATTAAACATTATGTTTTAAACCAAGGCAAAATGGGCACTTTATTTTCAACTCCCAAACAGTATGTCTTTCTTTTCTCACCCATGACATTGAGGAACTCTTCGTAGTTCTCTTGAGAGTAGACCTGCCATGTTCCAGTGAAGTCCATGTTTTCTAGAAGGTCTGGTTCCTCCTTTACCAATGTGCACCGGAGTCTGCAGCAGCTCTGTGAGGCTCAACACAATGTGAAGAATGTGACTGTGCTCACACACCTTCTTATACTCAAAGGCAAAGAGGTTCTAGTGCTATGTGTAATGAGTAACATACCCCTCTGAAGTAATCACTGCTGTTTGAACAACCTGGAGTTCACTGACAGGAAATATGAGCAGATTGGTGCAAGTACACTAATGCATGCAGAAGTATGGTGTCTTGCATAATAAAAAAGACAAATTTTTACATGCAGCATTTTTGCATTGTTGTTTGTTTGGGATAGAAGAGAGACAGGAGAGAAAACATTCATTTTCTTGTGAGGATCACTGAGCTCAGTGTGTTGTTTAAGAACAGAAACGTGCTAAATATATTTGTAAAATACATTAGCTATTAGCTATATTTACATGGATTCTATCTAAGGGCTCATTTATGTAACATACAGTAAGTTCTTATCTGAACTTATCTGTCTGCAATCCTCCCTCAGTGTGCCGTTGGACCTCCTAGTGTGAATCTACCTGGACAAGGGAAGCTCTGTCAAAAGGTTAATGACACTATATATTGTTTGCTTTTAAAGTGCAAGACAAAATCTCTTGCAAAATCACATGCACACATACAAAGAAAGCCACATTTTAAAACTGGATCATTTCAATTTATGAATAAATGAAGTTTTAATGAATAAGAATAGTTAGATAATGTACCTCTGAGTGAAAATAATGCACAAGTGAAAATGTTTTTTATTGCTTTATTCAACACACACATACACACAAACAAATTACATATCTAATTCACCAAACGCTCATTCCAGTAGCTGAGGGGCTTGCAGTTTGTGTTTTAACAGCTGCATCATGACAATTAAGTCAAGTCTGTAACTGAGCAATGGCTGCTGTGGCCATAGCATTATTATTAGATAAGGTAATGTAAGCTAATGTTAGCTATCAATATAGGAGCTACTGCTAACTAACATTAGCTAACATACCTGGACATATCAAACCCCCCCAAAAAAAGGTGCAGCAGCAAATCCTCAGAACATATTAAAATGAACAATGGTGCATGTCATTGCTAATGAATTTTATCTGTAAAAGAGAAGCAGTGTTATTTTTCTTTCAAAAATGATATAACTATATTATATATAATATAGTCTCACTTCAATAAAGAAACAGTAGGCTATGTCAAATGTCCATGAAGTCCATTTAACAAAGTTTGACAAACAGCACTCTGCAATTCTACATCTCCTTCACAGGACCAGGCCTGCAAACGCTGACCTTGGATTAAATGTTTTTAAATATAGTCAAAAGTACACAGAGAGAATATCTATCTATCTATAGACTAATCCTCAGTTAAAAAAAAACCCTCAATCTGAAGCATAAGATTAATTTCTGAATTCAGTGTTCAGTCTTAACCCATCTCCACAGCGTTTGTTGGAATCTTCTCACCATATCTGTAAACACTCACAGTCACTTCAACTGTCTCAGACCCATACTGGTTTTGTACGGTAATACTGTACGTCCCAGAATCTTCCATGGTGACATTGCTAACAGTGATGGTGCTGCACTTGGGCTCTTTAGTAATGGTAAATTGGTTCTGGTTAGCAATCTCCCTGTCATTACGAAACCAGAAGACCTCTGGAGCTGGTTCACCGTCGATGAAACATGTCAAACACAGAGTCTGAGGAGAGGACAAAGATGAGTCAAGGAAATATGAAATGATGAGCAACAGAAAGGATCAAGTCTGGAAATGTGAAACTGGCACAGCCAGGGTATGATTCCTGCACAACTGCATGACATAAAATATCTGAGCATACTGTGAATGAATGTGTCTCTAGGTAGCTGTATAATGTCTGCATTGTTTTCTGAAAAATGTCATACCTTGCCCTCTCTGATGGCTACAACATCAGGAAGACCTCTTGTCACTTTAGCCCGTTCTGAAACAAAACAAGACATCAACTGTAAGATATTTTAATCTTTGTTAACAGAACGATCTCAGGATCAACGCATCAGCTGTGACTCACTTTTCTCAGCAATGGCCAGTTGCCTGTGGGATGAAAACAAACGGTCAAATCAATGTGGCATTGCACAGTATCAGGCAACAATAATCTGGTTTGAGATGTTTTTCAGTTAATAGTTTATAAGTAAGTCTGTTTGAAAATAGTCTGTTACCTCTGACCTCTCAGTGTTTCCTGTTAGTGTCACAGCAAGCCATGCTAGATGGATCATCTAATGTACTGTGTGTGTGTGTGGTGCAACACTTACTTCAGCCTCTGGTGCTCCAGCAAGGTGTCAGCAAAGGCTGATGGAAGTTAAAATGATGATCAAGACAAAGTCTACTCAATAAAATCTAATCCCATTTGCTCTGAAATGCTCTCATAGTATGAAAATGCAATAGATTCATTTAAATAACACTTATAGACCACAATGCTTTTACTACCAACCTTGTCCAGACAGGTCAAGATATCGTTTGTGTGTCTCTTTCCCATCATACATCTCCAAAGTGTATTTGCCTTTATCATTCTCTGTTGGGTTGAAGATTTCAATCCAGACTCTCTGCATACTGCTGCCAGGCCTTGTCCTGGCTTCCTGGTCAATCCTTTTCTCCCTGCAGAGGAAGCAGCACAGAGACCGATACTGCTATGTACACTCTATTTTTATATGCCAGAATCTCTCCAAAAATATGCACATTTGCATTCTTTTGCCCTTGACCAAAGTAGTGGCCCTAGAGACAGTCCAATGGGGATGAGAGTTCTGCAGCCTGCTACTCCCAGTAGATAAAATCTACAAGGTAACATGTACAAAACACAGTTTGAAAATCAAGAACATCTTCCTTCTTATTGCAGACTGTGTAACAAGGCATCAAGAATTAGAAAATCATAAAACAGTGTAAAACAAAACAAAACATTGACTTGTATTTACAGTTACAATTTCGAATCATATTAAATTAATTTTAGCCCAAACTAAACATTTGTCTGCATTATTCTCCTGAGTTCATTTTTGGTTGTTCAGTTTTTGAAATGCCTTCCTTAAAGGCCCAGCAGGTGGTGCTAATACCCTTACTGAAGAAGCCAGCAACACCCTTGCCATGTCAGATTCTGTATTAGAATTCTGTATACTACATACCAGTGGTGGAAGAAGTACTTAAGACTTTTTACTTAAGTAAAAGCAGTGTTCCATTAAATTGATTATAATAAGCAGGATGAACCAGGTGTTTCAGGGTGTGCCCCCAGCTGCCACATGAGAACGTTTGCATATAGACATCAAGATCCAGCTGTTGTGTAACATTTAGATATTTAACTTTTTATTGCTAGTAGCTGAGCTTTATTAAGTATTTTACAGGCTGAACTTTAGCTTAAAGGAACCAAAGATTTATACCCTATAAAAAGAAATGTCACAATATTAATATTATCTGTGTCATTTACTGTATCTTTTAGCTTCAACTCTGTTTGTTTTTGTGTGTGTGCATGTGCAGTCAAACCACTATGAGTGGTTACTTTTTATGGCCTTTGCTGTACACTAGCAGTACCTATGCCCGTGCTAGTCTCATACAGTACTACATCTTCCAAAACTGCTATCCTGGTATCAGTCATAGAGCTCTGCAATATTGTGTGAATAATTTTTGCCCTTTGCAGTAACATTTACAGTGCTGCACTTCTGTGGCTTGCAAGGAAACAATGTTATCACACTGAAGGGAAAAGAATAATTTAAGATGTTATGAATATTTCCTCCTTGACTGTAGCTGCACATACAGTAGGATGTTAGGTCAAAGAGTTCTTCTGCATGTGGACTCACTTGAAGTACCAGCTGGTCTTCAGGTAGCTTATATAATATTTGAGTGAGCAGTAGAGCCTGAAGCCTTCAGCGGTGCCTTCAACACTCAGTGGACCAGCTGACAAGGCTGCAGAAATGTAGAGAGAGAGAAGAAAGTTTGCATGCATTTCAGTTTCCTTGGCAATTTAAAACACAGTATTATTTATCCGGAGACCTCAAAACATTAATATTCCGAAACAACACATGCTTCTATTAATTAACACGGCTTTGAGTTGTATCATCCTCGTCCCAGTGCAACACAATAACTCACCACACTGTTTACTCAAGTGCTGCAGAAGCTTCTCATACTCTGCAAATAAAAAGAGTAATTAAGATTTCAGACAGTATTTTACATTGCTGCTGGAACCCAATAAATACCAAACTCAAGATCAGAGGTACAGACAGTGACAAATTAAAAGACAAACCATCATAAAGTGTCTTAGTAAGGTGTTGGGCCAACACGTGCCACCAAAACAGCTTCACTGCAACTTGGTACTGACTCTACAGGTCTCTGAATTCTACTGGCGGGTTCAACATGATTCTTCCAAAAGATATTCCCTCAGTTTATGTTTTGATGATGATGGTGGAGATGCTGTCTAACAAGTCAGCCTAAAATCTCCCATAGGTGTTCAACCGGGTTGAGACTTTGTGGCTGTGGAGGCATAAGCATATGATTCAGTGACCCCTTGTGCCCTATGGATGAGGGCGCTGTCATCCTGGAAGAGACCACTCATTTATTCTGGTTTTTCCTTTAATTTGTCACTGGTCTGTGGGTGGCTGAATGGTGAGGACACATAATAAGATAAGAAAAAAATATAACAGCCTTGCTTATGCTATTAATAGAAAATTTGTGGCAACTAACATAGAAAAAGGAACAAATGGGAATTAGTTTTGTTTTTTGTTCATTGTTGATAAGGTCATATCTCACCATCATTCAGTAACTCTAAGGTGCTGACATCCTCTCCTCTTCTATCAGACACCACAGCTCTGTATGAGCCTGCTTCTTTCTTTGTGATCTGAGGCAAAACCATCCATCATATTAAAATTAAACATATTCATAATTTCAAAAATAAAATATTCATATCCCTGGAGAACAACCAAATACTTAAATTCATTGTTATTTCTTGGTTAACCTTAAACTACACTCCAAGGTGAACCTGGGAATGTCTCAGAATAATACAGAATAAGACTTGACTTAATCCTATAAACATCAATTGTCTCTCAGTGTGTTTATCTTATTTTCTCTCACTGTACAGCTGCCATTCTAGAACACTGTTTCACATTTGTCTGCATTCTTAACTCCTCTCACTGCATCTAGTAGCCTCAGAAAAAAAATTCATGTTGTGTACCTGTGGCAGGGTGAGTGTGCTGACCCCTGACGACTGATCATACACAACCCGGTTCAATGGCACGCCTTCTTTAAACCACTTGAGAGATGTGTCCTTGTTTGTATTTGTCACCTGCACAAGGAGAGACATACCATACCTGTAAAAACTGTAGAGGCAAAAATGGAAACTGTGTGTGTGCTTTATCTTCTGGTTATTTAGGTTTAAGGGTATTTTATCATTTAGATGTGGTAATCTCATTTGTTACTGTTTTGAATTGTGTGTGTGTGTTTTTTTTAAATGGTTTTAAACAGCTCTTGGGTTGTGTTGAGGTGCCATTTACATTTTATGTAGATGTAAATTTTATGTGGTTTTCATTCAAGATTTACATTTTTGTTTACATGTGAGGCTTAAAAATATATTTGTCTTATACTGTTAGTCTATAAATCATTGTTATTTATGCCTATCCTGGGATTTTTAATCTCATAGAGGCATCCTGGTTAAATGAATAAAATATCATTTATGTAAAATGTGTGCTTACCATACACGCATTGAAAGAGTCAGATTCACTGTAGTGAATTCACTAGAGATTCATTAGTTTAACATAAGCTAAGATGTAACAGAAATGATTTAGTAAAGTAATAGCAAATGTAGAATATGTCCTATACGCTGAATATTTCTGTTGCTATTAGCAAAATACTACAGTAATACCACTAAAATAAATTATTTGGTTAATTGCAGTATAAGATTTTCAGGGCTTCTAACATAATGCTATGTTAGTTCTGTTATAATATTTAACAGACTTATTTAGTAAATGTAAAAGTACCTTGCACTTTATAATCAGTTCACAGTCCTCATTTACACTCCATGACAAGAATTCCTGAAAATAGGGTCCTGGAGAAACAAAACAAAAAAAAAAGGTTATCCACCTGTACTGGACTGTATAAACAGTGACAATCGGACATTTTATTCAGTGAAGCCAATGAAACACGAATACACAATAAAATGTCAGTTTACAGTGATTACAGCAATTTATGGCTGAGTGATAAACCACAGTGACAGCTAGTGGAGGGACTATTTAAAACAATGTGCGACTAGTATTACAAAATGTGTTACACAGACTTTTGAGTACAAGCACTTTGAACAGTGGACATGAGGTGAGGTGATGTATTTACACAAGTGGGCACTGTGACACTGGTCTCGACACACACACACATACACACACACACACACACACACACACACACACACACACACACACACACACACACAATAGAGCTGTATAGCTTATACAGTAGTTCTATAGCTTCTTCTTATCACATGTGTGATCTCATGTGATGAGAACAAGGAGTTCAGTAGTGCAGGAAGTTTCCTTTCTTTTTTCTGTGGCTCTCTAATTAGAGATATTTGGACAATTCTGAGCAGCTATATTATTACAAAAGATCATCAAAAAGCTTTTGTTAGCTGTACTGCAGTCCTCAGCTTGGAATGAGTAAATGAGAACCACAATACCTTTCAAGTAATATGGTTCTCATTCACTCATGATATAAAACATCGATGCAGAACAGGTATTGTTTCAGCAATAAGTTAAACACACAGAGATCTTCTAGTGTGACTTTTATTGGCAAAGGCCATTACTGTATTTACTGTATGTGTCTTATACTTGAAAACCTCTCACCGGACTTTCTCTGATAGTCACGTCGTTTTGCGTCAGCCAGCGCCAGCGCCTGACGGAACTCTGACAGGGACACAAACAATGTCAGTGCAGAACAGATCCCATTCACTGAGTAACACCGCTAACACCCAGATCATCTGATAAAATAGGTAAAACCAATTCTAGTGGTAAAAGTAAAATAACAACAACAAGAGGTGCCTCTCAGATTACATTATGCTTCAAAATAAAAAAGAATGCAGCAACTACATAGATCAGCTATTAGGCACCCGGAAGTGAAATTCAGACTTTAATTTTGTGAAACATAAAGCCTTATATACCATATGCCACATGGCAGTGTTCATCCATCTGGTGATGGAACATTTACACTGATGCTATTTGTATATACTTTTCAATTACATTTTATTCAAGTAAGTTTTGAGTAGATTTCCCCAGCCTAAATTTTTTCTCCACTCTACCAGGAATAAAAATGTGGTCTGTGGCCTCCTGGTGGCCTGTGGAGCCACTGCAAGTGGTCGATGACCATGCATTCAATAATATAGTTTCATTATGAGAATCAAAATTTACTTCATTTTAATATAAAAATAAATTTCCATGTATTAATTATTGTTTGGGAATAATCCTATTCATTCAAATGTATCAAATTTAGAAAGGCCAAAGTGACTTCCATCCAGTCTGTCCACTACAGTACAGTGGTCCTCAGGTTACTTCTTAGTCACACTGGTGGTCCATTGTTCACAATCAGTTGAACCCTGGCCTACAGCAATCACATTAAAAAGACTGACTTTAAATTATGTTAGTTTTTTGCCAAGGCCCCCAAATTCCCAGAAAGGTAGAAACTACAATTCTAATCTCACCCAAACCCCCTGTTTCAAAGGGGAAAACTTCACAACAATATAGTAAAAATATCATGCCATAAAAATGATTTGAGTCACCTCAAATTTACAATAATGACTGTTTTGTTTGTTCCTCTATTTGTGCTTATTGTTCATTATGGTTTGTAACAAAAACCAATGTGTCTTCTTAATGGTAGGACTCACTTTGATCCACAAAGACCAAAGTGAACTGGCTCTTGGCGCGGCCGTCCCTCAGCTGAGCTGTGTACGAGCCCTCATCCTCCCGGGACAGCTGATCAAACAGTATTTCCACCAGACCTTTGGCCTTGTCAAAGTTGATCTTACGGTGCTGCAGAAGAGCAAACAAGCATTACCACACACAGTACACATCAGCTCATATGCAGACAGATGATCCCAGATGGAAGGTAGATGCTATATTGTACAGATGGTTAGCCATACAGAGAGAATATACTGCAGTGAATGTGAATCAGTGCATGAAAAGTGTCTGAAATGACATGTACACTCCAGATGAAATATTCGATTTTCTAACACAGAAATACAAACAAACAGAGGCACAGTGGAAACAGATTGTGTGCTCATTTTCACGGCTTTTATGTTCATCGTGATAAGTGTGTGCCTTGCATGCTGACAGGCCTCCATGGTGGATGTGATTTGTGATGTGTGGCAAGCCTAAGGGCTCTAATCAGCTAAATGGCTTTTGAATTTGCAAACCTCAGCTGTGATAATTTAGAAATAATGTGTAATCAGTATTCTTCAGATGGAACTCTGATATAAGGAAATAATGGGAAAAATGAAAAACAAGTAGTGAATGGGAGCTGCTGAATGCAGTTGCCCCACATCACACAAACATGAGCAAACAAAGATGCACAAGATGAAGCCAACAGGGTTGCGAAACTGCAGTATATGCTATGCTGTATTTGTTTCTCTGGCTGTGGACATGCCGGTACATGGTTCAGTAACTTTGACGGCAGTGCTGATTATTTTTAGCTTGGTGTCATAATATATGTCTGTGCTGAGGAGGTTTGTTCACATTGTTTCCTCAGTGATGATACTGTTTCTTTGTTTTATTTCATCTTGGTTCGAAGAGCACTTACACAAAATGGCAGGTAAAATCACCATCATGTCTCTATTTTCCACATTCATCTTTTCTATAGAATTACATTATTTTGTCAATAATAGGGTAAGAATGTTTATGAAACTATTTTTTGTTCTCATTTTGCAAGTAGCAGTGGCTTTCACAGAGCTGTTTTTATGAATGTAAATAAATTTGGTGGTGCGGGTATACAAATTTCAGAATGATTTGTACAACCAATAGCACACTAAAAGCAGGGATATAGTCCAGATTGTAAATATGTGGACAGTTATGCATTTTTTATTCCTCAGACTTTGTGCTTTAGCACATTTAGTTGAAAATAAAATAATGGGTACTACATCAAAGTGTCAGGTTTTAGCTTTAATGTGAGTAGGTTTATGTGCATGACTTGGCACTTTAATGTAGCATCTATTGTGTTATTCAGCTTAAATGTGCTGATGCTCAGGCTGAAAAACAAAAATGTCCAGATAATTATGGTCTAGACCGTTTGCATTTGTTGTTAATATGGCTTAATATTTTTTTCTCACTTTCACTCAGTACTACAGAGCTAATATTATGTAGTCAGCACTTTGAATAAAGTTAGTTTGAATATAGTGTCTATTTATTCCACCCTTGCCTTTCGCTGGCATCTCACTAGAAGTGAGACATTTACCAGATGTGGGCTCCTTCTCCACCTTCAGCTCAGTTGATCCTCCTGTCTCCCACATTTTCTGAAATGATTCTGCTGCCTTGCACACCTTTTCATCATCTTTACTGGCAGCCTCAATTTCCTGCTTTCCAAGATGTTTCTTAAAACACTAATTGTTGTTTTTGACTAATAGAGACTTGTCACAAGCACAAATGTATGAGGCTCATGTTAGTCTTGTAGGGTTTCATAACATATTTCATTTTCCCACTTTTTGAGGCTGAAAGAAGAAAAATTAAAGCAAGATCCGACGTCACTAAAGTGAAATGTCCGTTTATTTTATATCATATATTTCAAAAGGCTAAAGTTATGAACCACATGCAGTTTTGTAGTGGCCATATGCGAAATTTTAGGGCATACAGTAAATCAGAATGTCTCAACAACACCACTGTTTCCTTATGATAACTCTAACTTTAAATCATGACTAAATGTAATGTAATGTTACTGTAATGTTATTGGTGCCATTTTAAAAAGGTGGCTAGTGTTTAGACTCTCACTTTATAGCAGTGGGTTCCAAAATAAATCTGAGATTATTCAAGAGATATTGCTTATTTTTCCTTGTTTCTCTCTAATTTTTTTCTTACTGAATCTCTTCAGGCCTCTAAAAATAAGAAAAATCTCTGCTTTCCTCTAAACCTATTATAATGGGACAAAACTATGATGCTATGACTACAGTGAGGTGAAAACTTGTGTGAAGTCATTAATACAGAAAACATTTACTAACCTGAAAGTTAGCATTATTAAACAAAATTCTACCCCTAACTACTGCAATATATAGGATGTTACTCCAACCACAGTTATAGGCAATATACTGTAGGTAAAGTGCTGTTCAGAAAGGTGGCAAGGGTGAAAGTGTTGCAGCAGGTTTTCAGAAAGCAAGGGTAGCAATAAAAACTTTTTGAAAAACATTAAGGAATTTTCAAATAACACACTCCTGTAGGTGTATACTTTTATCCAAAATACTTTTAAGCAACAGTGAAATTCAACAGACCTGTACTTTCTAAGCTGCGGTAAAAGTATAACTTGTACAATGGTTCTTACCGGAGTGCTGGAGATTTCTTGGTCATTGAAGATGAGACGGAGCTCAGCATCATCACTCAGACTCTCTGTCTGAAGCCAAAGACGCACACCACCTTTATCTGTAACCTCCACCTGCCAGCCAGACTTCAGAGCTATCACTGCCAAAGATAAAATAAAGACAGATTGTTACAGTTATTCTGAATCTTAACAGAGGTTTAAATGAACAGTGATATGTATAAATTCATTTCAGTACATTATATACCACTTGTTAATTTCAGTTTTTACACCATATGCAAGTTCTGCAGTTATTGCTGCTATTGTATTTTTAAATCAGTGCTGTATGTCAAAGCTTCCAGACCAGTCGCAAGATGTTAATCAGATCATCTGATGAATATTACTTTGATATAGCGAGTGGATGCCCAGACTGAGCCCAACACATCTGTTGGTACCTGAAGGTTTGGGCCAGGTTTGGACCGAAATTTGGAAACTGTGTTTGGGTCTGGGTTAGGTTTGGACGCCACACTCTCAGACATGGGTCGAGGACAGAAATACATTATGTGGCCTAATCTATGCTCTACTTTGATACCAACTGATTAATAGACTGTCCTCCTACAAAAAACGAGTTATTACGGCCATGCCAAACAAAATTATTTTGACCCAAACCACAATCTTATTCTAAACCTAACCAAGTAATCTTTATGTCTAAACCTAAAGAAACACTGGCAGTTCCATAACTGTAACAATGTGATTATGATTGTTTCCATGATAAAGGTCTACTAAAGCTGCCTTTGGGTCATATTTAAATGTAAAGACAAATGTTGTTGGTTAGGTTGGAGACCTTGGGTAACTTTTCTTTATTATGCATTATAATATCTTATGGTACATACATGGATTTCTGACTTGCCAGCTGAGCTCTCGGAGTCGTTCAAGGTCTGCAAAAAAAGTACAGCAGTTTAAGATTAAATCAACTTTGATCAGGACTCACTTTGTAATGCTACACTAAGCACCAGTGGATACAACAATGGCTTGTGGAGCAAGCTGCTCAGCTGGAAACTTGATTGAGAACAGATGCTTAACTGTACAAGTGACCTTGTGGAAGTGGTTGTGAGAGGAATAATTATTTGCTTCAGAAAAAATCTTGATAACCTTTAAAATTAAAGGCTCTGTATTTCTTTTGCCATCAGGTTCGTAAAAAACACGCGACAAATGCTTTTTTCAATTTGCCTACTGTGAACCATTCTCTCTGTTCTTGTTTAGTGCCTTCACACATTTCAACAACTAAAAAGTTTAATTTTACCTTCAGCAGTGAAGTCGTAGCTGGATGATAGGTTGGGGTTGTCACTTATCTCTACTGTGTAGAGACCCAGATCCTCCTCAGTGGGATCAGTGAAGGTGAGGACTGACCTGTTGAACAAATTGAAAAACAGACAACTGCATCTAGGTAGCATCTTCAACATCTTGTTCATCTGTCCACCCTGCTGCTGTTAGTTTGTGCCATCAGCTATCAGGCTTCACAATGCCTTCTCTCCAGTCATTCCCAATCAACTAAACTTTAAATGAAAATAATTGATCCTTTACATGCTAGAAACAAGTAGAGCAGAGTGCATGTGAGAGCTGACAGGCTTCAATCCAAAGATACTGCTATTCACTGGGAAAACCTGAGAGAAATGTTCCAGAGACAAGAATTTACAGAATTCAATTAGCTCAAATCACATTTCATGTTAACACAGGCTTTATTTAAATCCTGTCATTTGTCTTATTATACTTTGTCCACCCACAGTCCTGGTTCGTTTGAAACCTGTTTATAGTTGTTGAGATTGTGCAGCATTTTGTGGGTCAGTGCTGAACAACCAGTTTGTTCTGCACTGAATGGTTTCACTGAGTCTGAAACTAGACATATGTGAAGTCTTTCTTGCTCATAACTACTATCACAGACTTCTTAGAAGTCACCTAATCATAGGAAAAAGGTTGTACAGTCTTTGTCATACATGAACAACTCTACCTGTTGTTTTTGGTTTCTGCTCGGGCTCTGCTGGCATCAATGGGCTCTGTGTAATTCTTGTTCCAGAGGAACTGGCTCTCATCGTTCATCTCATCAGCCTCGTAGCTCATACATATGAAGCCATCACTGTCCACACCAATCTCAATATTTTTGGTGCCTGAGGAAGATTTAGTTGGTATTTTTATTTAGCTATTGTTTTACCAAGCACATCCCACTGAGGTTAACAACCTCTTTCACAAGGGCACCTTGGCCAAGATGGCAGCATTACAATAAGTCAATACAACATTAAAAACTAATACAATAATAAAATCAAACAGTATGAAGGCAAAACAAAGGAAGGACATTACAAAACAGTTATCAATGTCAGAAAGCTAACAAAAACAAGTAGAAAAAAGAATCATTCATCAATACATTTACAATAGTCAGTGATACCAAGTTCATTTGTTTAACGAAAAAAGAATCATTCATCAATACATTTGCAATAGTCAGTCATACCAGGTTCATTTGTTTAATTTGCCTTTGTAACATATGACATTATGGTTTGTGGCAATACATTTCAGCAGGTAAAATATTTCCTGAATCAATTAATTTGAATAAAAAATATTAAACCCTATGCACTGTCCCCATTCTTTATGTTCTATTGAATTTTGGTATTCATCCATCCATCCATTTATCCATACTTATTTCATCCTAAATATGCTCTTCTTTTGGCTTCTAATTAAATTTCTTATTTTAGCAATGGCTTTCACTAAATTGCACACCCTGAATTTACTGAAAAGCAACACAATCACATATACATAGTCATATATTTTGGCATATATTTTAATAAAGTAAGTTTAAATATTGCACTGGTTTGTTGGTTGTATTTTGGTTAAAACTGTGCATATGCTGTAAATGCCTTTGTATACCTTATTTTTCAGGTGATCATGAAAAAGGACATTTAAAGGAATAGTTTGACATTTTGGAACATTCACTTATTATCTTTCTTGATGAGCCTTAGATGAAGAGATTGATCCCAATGCTCATGTCAAATGAAGCTGGAGCCTTGATGGAGCCAGGCTACTTGTTCCCCTTGTTTCCTGTCTTTATGCTAAGCTAAGCTAACCACCTCCTGGCTCCAGCTTCACAAAAAACATTCCTTGAAAGGTACTCATTGTGCTTTATTTGTATATCCAAAATGCCTGATCAGAAGCTTGTCTCATTACACGAATATTGCAATATACAGTATATGTATATATATATATA